TATTTTTATTTTTTTGTGCTACAACATGGGATTAAATCAATGCATGCTGATGAACTTTTATCATAGTTTATAGTTATATGGAAACGAAAGTGGTTAACATTCAACCCGTTTTTTATCATCAGTAGTATTATTTGTGATTTGAATTTTGTGAACGGTAGTTCCTTTTTTGCTGTGTGTTAAGCCGCGGGCTTCGGATGCATTCACTTTCGAATTCGCGATCTTGTTGTCACTGTTTTGCTTACATACATCTACACGCCTTTCATTTTTTAAGACTAAACAAAAGATGGATTCATTGTTGTTCTTAATTAAAAAGCACAACAACAATAAAACAGTAAGATACAATGACAAACTAGCTTACAAAGCGTTTATTAACAAAAACAAATAAGATGAGGCACACACCACATGCTGTATTACAGCAGTTCCCAATCCCAGTCCTCGCGCATGTCTCTCTTAGTTAACACACCTGATTCAGATCACCAGCTCGTTAGAAGAGAGCTATGTGCATGAACTGCGTTCCGATCGATATGATCCCTACACAGTGTTCATTGCTCCCTACTCCCTGAGCAGGGAAATCCGTTGAAGTTTACTTCACTTTGCGCTGCGCAGCGTCTTCATACACAGACAAAACTTACGAGAGAAGTGTGACATAATATACCTCTGTAAATAAATACTATTTAATTTTACATCTCGCACACTTTAATGCCCTTTGTATGGAACATATACACTTGTTTCGAACTGGAATCATGGTGGAATATCTGGTGATGTCCACTTCGCAGGGCACTTACGAATAGAACAAACGTCACACGTGATAAGAGATGCATACAGAATATGCAGAGCGGGGGGGGGCAATTTAGTCGCACAGGCAGAAAAAATGGTCGCAGTCTGGAGCCCTGAATCATATGAAATAAATGTTAACTATAAATAAATACACTACCAGTCAAAAGGTTTTGAACAGTAAGATTAAGTCTTTTCTGCTCACCAAGCCTGCGTTTATTTGATCCATAGTACAGCATTAAGAACTGAATGTTTTTTTGAAGTAAACATAAACAACAATAAAATAAAATAAAAAAATATAATATGTATTTATTTATAATATAATATTAATTCATTCATTCATTCATTCTAGCTATTTGTACCTGAAACTTGACAAATTTCCATGACATTTTAAGATTTTATTATTTTAATAAATGTTTAATACATTTAAGACTTTACTCGTATATCCAGTCTAAATGAATGGGAATCCTGATTCTTGAATAATTAAATAAGAAATATATCAGCTTACATCTTGATTTATGTTGATAAACTCGAATTAAAAAATTTAATTTAAAAAATTTTTTAATCAATATTTTTAATTCGCATTTTTTTTCTTTTTCATTTTAGTTTTTATATGCTTTTGTAATTTATATTAATTTTCTAAAAATTTTAATATTTAGGTTTAATTTATATTTTATTTCTGTTTTTATTTCTCTTTTATTCCCACTTACTAGCTTAATTTTTCAGTATTATGTGCTTTTGTTATTTGTATTATTTATTTATTTATTTATTTATTTTTAAATATAACTATTTAGGTTTTAATTTATTTTTATTTCTGTTTTAGTTCAGTTCTAGTTTTTATTTATTTTATTCCCAGTTACTAAGTGCTCCAACTAAGTGCCAAGGCATTCATTTTTAATTTCCACTTCAGATTTTAATCTCATAGTATGTTATATAACTTCTTGAAGAACTTTGTAAGAACTTGAAGAACTGTCAGAAGTGCTACATTTTTAATTTGTAATAATAAGTCTGATGGACTTTGGGTTGTTTGCATGATCAAGAGTAGTAGTAATGGTGATGATTGACTTACACTCTCTCTCTCACACACACACACACACACACACGTCTGGTTAGCTATCCTTGTGGGGACTCTCCATAGGCGTAATGGTTTTTCTACTGTACAGACCGTATATTCTATTGCCCTACACCAACCCTACCCCTAAACCTACCCCTCACAGGAAACTTTCTGCACTTTTAGATTTTCAAAAAACTTCATTCTGTATGATTTATAAGCTTTTGTACCCGTGGGGACCATCTAGCTATTTGTACCTGAAACTTGAAAAATTTCCATGACATTTTAAGATTTTATTATTTTAATAAATGTTTAATACATTTAAGACTTTACTCGTATATCCAGTCTAAATGAATGGGAATCCTGATTCTTGAATAATTAAATAAGAAATATATCAGCTTACATCTTGATTTATGTTGATAAACTCGAATTAAAAAATTTAATTTAAAAAATTTTTTAATCAATATTTTTAATTCGCATTTTTTTTCTTTTTCATTTTAGTTTTTATATGCTTTTGTAATTTATATTAATTTTCTAAAAATTTTAATATTTAGGTTTAATTTATATTTAATTTCTGTTTTTATTTCTCTTTTATTCCCACTTACTAGCTTAATTTTTTCAGTATTATGTGCTTTTGTTATTTGTATTATTTATTTATTTATTTATTTATTTTTAAATATAACTATTTAGGTTTTAATTTATTTTTATTTCTGTTTTAGTTCAGTTCTAGTTTTTATTTATTTTATTCCCAGTTACTAAGTGCTCCAACTAAGTGCCAAGGCATTCATTTTTAATTTCCACTTCAGATTTTAATCTCATAGTATGTTATATAACTTCTTGAAGAACTTTGTAAGAACTTGAAGAACTTGTAATACTGTCAGAAGTGCTACATTTTTAATTTGTAATAATAAGTCTGATGGACTTTGGGTTGTTTGCATGATCAAGAGTAGTAGTAATGGTGATGATTGACTTACACTCTCTCTCACACACACACACACACACACACACGTCTGGTTAGCTATCCTTGTGGGGACTCTATCACACACACTCAAACACACACACACGCACGCTGTGATCCGCTGAGAGCTATATACATTCTATTATACATGCTATTATAGTTTTTATTAATATTTTTAATTCGATTTTAGGTTTTCATTTTAAGTTTAGTAAAAACGTTTGTAATTTTGTTGTGTTTTTGTCAATGTCTATATAGTTTTTATACATTTTCATTTTTTATTCAAGTTTTAATTAAAATTTTATTTCAGTTATTTCAGTTTTTGTTATTTGAGTACAAGTTAAACTAAATGAAAATGAGAAATGTTGCCTTGGCATCTGCTGAAATATAAAGTTTTTATTTCAGTTAGGTTTATTTTATTTCAAGTAACGGAAGTGTGTTTTTAATTGTTTTAAATTCAGTTTCAGTTTTAGTTAACTATAATAACGGTGACTACAATAAAACCTTTTTTTTTTTTTAAATGTTGTATTTCAAGAATAACAAAAGTTTTTATTTTTTTATTTTTATGGTTGTAGTTTTAATTAACTATAATAACCCTGTATTTGGATGGTGTATGTGTTTACTCATCTCACCTGCACAAAAACACATTCAGTGTTCCTCAAAATGAATAAAAACAGTCAAATGCAAACTCAGAATATTATACAAACCTGCAATAAATAAATATGTTAAATAAGACAAATTTAATTTATGTATTTAATCCCATTTTATTAACCAATGTCTTCGCTACTGACCTTCGATGATCCAATTCAATCATACTAAGCAAAAATAACACATTTGTGTACCATTTTAGTTATTGCTGAATAGTGTTGAACTTTCTTCTCCTGCGTCATATTCTTCATGTGATTAGTTTGAGCGGCGCCCTCTACTGTACAGACGTTAATTTACATTTCCTTCAGCCTGAGGCGTATTCATTTCACTTTTGATGTGAAAGGGCTTTTACATTTGTAAAAGAATAACTTTTCATATTAAAAACTAACAACAAGCCCCGCCCAGATTTAAAAAGTAACTCAAAAGTAACGTAATTAGTTACTTTTTTAGGGAGTAACGTAACATAATATCTGCTCTGAGCCACCTCAATTGTGCACAAGCACTTTATTCTTACACTTCTAACATTTCTTACATTCCTGCAATTTCACATTTCTACCTCATTTAACACTTCTGCCTTGTTATATTTATTTGATTTTTAACAATATTTAATTACGTAGGCTACTATTACGTTTAATTACATACATATTATGCATTATTATGCATTGTAAATTATGCAGAATTACAGCATTTAAATGGTAGAATTCTCCTTGCTTTGTCATATAGTGTCTCTGTCAGTGAATGGGACACAGATTTTACTGATACTAGTAAAATCTTTATATTGAATAATATGTGTCAAATAATGTTCTTAGTCTTTTCTTCCTGTGTGGAAGCATCCCAGCCAGAAACTACAAAAGTTTACTATGAATTAAATAGAAATTAAATACCATTTATTGTGTAACCCCCCAAAAAACTTGGCTTTTAATTAAAAACAAACCCGAAAAACACCGGGACTCTTATTTTGAAATGTATACACTACTGCGGCCTGATCCTTCAGATGAGAGATAAAATATGCATTCTTACAACCGTCTAAAACATATTATATAAAGGTAATAAAGTAGACATTGTCATAATTCATCAAGGAGTTCATAAGCAATCGCTTGGCATAAATGTGCACTATTCATTGATTGAGAATCACTTTGAAGCAACAGCGCCGCCTTGTGACACTGCAACGTGCAGCGCTCTTTTTTTTAATGAAATCATAGCCTTTTGAAGTTTAATAATCGATAGGCTGTATCGCGATTTATGTAGTTCCATCCTCAAATATAAGACATCTTAAAATAATCATTAAGATGTTTGTTTTACCATTTCATGACTTTTTATGAAATTAAATTTAAGAAAACTCACCCTGAGGGGTTTTGCTTTATTCGCACACATGCTCCTTAAATACATTTTACAGTTCGCGCACATCTATTTTTATTTGCGCCCTGTGTGTGTGTGTGTGTGTGTGAAATATCCGCCGCGTCTCACGTGGGATCGTCAGCGCCCAAGTAAAGTCTATGTGTGGGAAACACTGCAACATTGTAATGCATCACTTTTAAAAGTATCTTCTGGCTGTCTTCTGTGTTCTCGCAGACGGTTCAGACGCACCGGCCGCTCTTCGTGGCTCTTCACTGTCAGGAGGTCGGAGGGAAGAACTACGAGGCGTCCATGACACACGTGGACAGCTTCATCAAGTAAGTTCACCTGAAGCCAGTGTGAATCCGGTTCCTGATCAAACAGCGGCTCCAGCTCCAGTGTGTGTGTTTTCAATATCATCTCATTATTAAAGGCTAAAGCCAATATTTACTCACACCTGAGCAGCTCAACCTGCAGACGCCGGTGAGAAACGAAACCGCAACCATCGCTGACTGAGAGCACTGCAGTATTACCATGGTTTTTCAGACATGTACCAACTCTTTGATACAGTACACGCATTTCTAAAGCTATAAATCAGGGCTCCAGACTAACTATTTTTACTAGGAGCACTGTAGCCCCTGACTGAAAACTTTTAGAAGCACAAGCGCACACCTTAAAGCAGCCTGCAATGCAATCGTTCACACATTTACCTCATTTTAACTGTATTACTGATTGATAATAAATAGACTTAACTCATAGAGATTACAGTGTGCAGTATTCTTTTAATTTCAGAGAGATATGACATATATGTATATATATATAATATGATAATTTCTATTGTTTTGCATTAATAAGTACAGTTACTAATAATATTACTTGTTTATTTCATGTTTACACAAATGTGATAGTAAAGCACTAAGCTTGAGTTGGGAAGCTTACAAAATGTATTTTATTAACAACAGTAATGTAATATGATAATTTCTATTGTTTTGCATTAATAAGTACAGTTACTAATAATATTACTTATTTCATGTTTACACAAATGTGATAGTAAAGCACTAAGCTTGAGTTGGGAAGCTTACAAAATGTATTTTATTAACAGCAGTAATGTGCAGAATCTAATTTTTATGTAGAAAAGATATATATTGTACTCTTATTAAATGTACCATTATTCTTCTATAGTCTTACATGAAACTGACCAACAACTTTCGTGATTGTGTGATTTAGTCGCAAATTGAAGAAAAGTTTGTTTTTCAAAGCACTCTGACGTTTTTTACTTCTTAAACAAAAAAAGAGCGAAACTCTGACAAAGTCTGATTTCTTAATGATTTGATATTTTATAATAGTGATTTTATAATTATTTTATAATTTCAAAATATAAAGGAAAAAGTATAAATGAATTACTAATAAGCCAATAAGTGCTCCTCTGCTGCCATCTACTGGTTATAATGGTGATTTGATGTATTCTTTAATTTTACACAAGTGTTTGTTCATAACCACAATACTACATGATTATTCATATATGTGACCCTGGAGCACAAAACCAGTCATAAGTGTCAATTTTTCGAAATTAAGATTTATGCATAATCTGAAGCTGAATAAATAATCTTTCCACTGATGTATGGTTTGTTAGGATAGGACAATATTTGGCTGAGATACAACTATTTGAAACTCTGGAATCTGAGGGTGCAAAAAAATCTAAATATTGAGAAAATCATCTTTAAAGTTGTTCAAATGAAGTTCTTAGCAATGCATATTACTAATCAAAAATTAAGTTTTGATATATTTACGGTAGGAAATTTACAAAATATCTTCATGGAACATGATCTTTACTTAATATCCTAATGATTTTTGGCATAAAAGAAAAATCTATAATTTTGACCCATACAATGTATTGTTGGCTATTGCTACAAATATACCCCAGCGACTTAACACTGCTTTTGTGCTGCAGGCTCAGATATAATAGCACTACTTATATGGCACTTCAAAGAATCATCATTTCCACACTGCATGAAATACCTTGTTATTACCATGGTGTTTTGCAGTGAGTGTGTGTTTTGTGTTGTTTTGTCAGAGAGCTGCTGTCTAGTGACGCCATGAAGGACTTCAGCCGCGCTCGTGTCTACCTCGACAAGAACTACAAATCCCAGGAGCAGTTCACAGTGAGTCCCTCAGTCCTGTGCTGGTTTCAGGAGCTTCTCTAGTTTCTGCCTGCAGATTGACTGCAGAGCCGCTAGGGGGCGCCCAAGCCTTCAGATCAGCCTTTTACTGTAGATATAAATGACCAGTCAAAAGATTCTGCGCATTGTTTTACACGTTTAATAATAGTATGTATGGTTCATATGAACGACATATGTCTGCTTGATATCTGCACAACCTATTTCAGTCATTTGAGCAGGAACTTTGTCGCGTACGTCTTAATCTTGTGATATTTGATACTTTATGTGATTTAATCTTCTGGTTCATTCAATTAAAGTCAGGTTTATTGCACAAAAATCCATAATATTAATGTTTATAAAACTCCATATGCACTAATGCATATGTTTTACATATATGTGTGTATTTGTTTATTTATAGATTATTTATATTAGATGCACATATTTATTTAAATATAAAACCAATAATTTTTTTTTTTTTTTTACAAAATAAAAGTGAAACTTAGAAGACAAACTCCATGTATATAATATTTAATTAACATATTAACTTAGATATTTGTGTTTTTAAGAAGTCTTGAGAAGCATAAATTGATGTGTTTTAATCTTGTGATATTTAATATTTTATGTGATTCAATCTTATTTTATTTAATTCAACAAGTCAGGTTTGTTTCACATTACACATTGTTTTATAGAAATCCATAATATTAATGTTTTTAAAAACTCCTTATGCAGTGTTTGTACACACACACACACATATATACACACACACACATATACACACACACACACACACACACATGGGGCCGATCGGTGTCTCAGACAGTCAATAAACCTGCTGTGGCTCAGACAGACTCGTGTTGTTTTGCTCGGGTAACTGTTTGTTGTCTGCTCCAGCTGTCAATGTTCAGATAATGTGAGTTGAGAGAGAAAGACAGAGAGACAGACAGTATTTGCTGTTTGCTGAGGGAGATTTAGCTCTCTGATGAATAGTTTCTGTTTTCTTGTAATATAAATCTTGTAACATAAAAATAACTGGTTTTTCTAAATGTATAATAAATAAATTTGCTCTCTCTCTCCTTCTGTGTAGTCATAGTCTTTTGACGAAAATGCCTTTTAGTTTTAGTCATCTGAATTGTTTTGGATTTAGTCTAGTTTTAGTCGACTAATATCTAAAGGGTTTAGGTAAATTGTAATGCATTATTATTTTTTATTTCTGTTTTGGTTATAGTACATCAGGTTAAGCTAAAGCTTATAAACTAAATTAAATAAAATACGATTTTTAATATATGTATTTTATATATTTATTAGTGCTGTCAAACGATTAATCGCGATTAATCACATTCAAAATAAAAGTTTTTGTTTACATAATATATGTGTGTGTACTGTATATTTATTATGTATATATATATAAATACACATGCATGCATAAATATATTTAAGAAAAATGTTATGTTTATATATTAAATATATTTTTAAATAATATCAATTATTTGAATATACATCTATGCATGTAAATACATGTAAATATTTTCAAAATATATACATGCATGTGTGTGTATTTATATATATACATAATAAATATACACAGAACACACTCATATATTATGTTAACAAAAACTTTTATTTTGGATGTGATTAATCACGATTAATCGTTTGACAGCACTAATATTTATTTCCTTTTTTATAGATTTGTTTTTTAATTTCAGTTAGCATATATTTTATTTCAATTAATGAAGAATATTTTAATGTTTTTAGTTTTAACTATAACGACCTGATACTAGTAATGTTCTTAGTCTGTCCATCCTGTGATGGGGAATTCCAGACAGAAGCTACAGTAGTTGTTAAAAAATTTATTGGAAATTAAATTAGATTAAATACAGTTTATATACCCAAAATAATAATATCGACCAGGAAAAAAAGCTTGAAATACACTGTGACTCTTATTTTGAAAATATATTATAATTGAATTTGTTTAAAGAAAGACCAATTTGTTCAGTAAACCATTGTTTAATTTAAAAAAAAGCCGTTTTTGTTTATTTTTTTCCGAAACCATACCGAACCGTGACATCAAAACCGAGGTACGTACCAAACTGTCAAGTATATATACTACAATTATTTTTTTATTTTTTATTTTAATGACTTGTAATTTTAAGTATTATATGTTTATAATAGAAATTATTAGTTTATTCTTCTTGAAACAAATCTTTCTCTCTTTGTGAATAGTTAAGCGTGATCCTCATGAATCTGCTCTGAGTGTGTGTGTGTGTGTGAAGTGTGACTGTGAGTGTGTGTGAGTGTGACTGAGTGTGAGTGTGTGTGAGTTTGACTGTGTGTGTGAGTGAGTTTGACTGTGTGTGTGAGTGTGACTGTGAGTGTGAGTGTGAGTGTGACTGAGTGTGAGTGTGTGTGAGTGTGACTGTGTGAGTGTGTGTGACTGTACTGGTTTATATATCCTGGTGGGGACTTAAACCTGAATACACACAGACTCATGGGGACTCGTGTCACGGTGGGGACCTAAATTGTGGTCCCCACGGGTACAAAAGCTTATAAATCATACAGAACTGTGAGTGTGACTGTGAGTGTGACTGTGAGTGTGAGTGTGTGTGTGACTGTGTGTGACTGTGTGTGAGTGTGTGTGTGTGAGTGTGACTGTGTGAGTGTGACTGTGTGTGTGTGTGAGTGTGACTGTGTGTGTGAGTGTGAGTGTGACTGTGTGTGTGAGAGTGTGTGTGTGTGTGTGTGTGTGTGTGTGTGAGAGAGAGAGAGTG